GTAATATTTGTTTTCTTAATCCGAAATGAAACACTGAACCGCAGTCAGGAATCTCTTACTAATCCCCATCTTTCACCTTGTCAACGGGTCTAGCCCGCACTACACAGAGTGACGTCTGTTGGCGCTCGGCCATTAATCTCAGCGTATGAATATTTATCCTCATTCCAAGTGTTTTTGTTATAAATATATATATCTATTTCAGCTGCAGTTTGACAGAGCTTGATAGTGCAGAGGAGGCGGCGTTGACATTCTGAACAAAATACGTCAATCCAAAGCTTTAATGTTAATAAGATGTCTCTCTTTATGCAATGTCAGATTGTGAATATGAACCTGACAGGTTTCTGAGTTTGTGTGCAGAGCTGCAGTTCATTAAGCTTCCACCAGGGAGCAGCAGTGTCTAAAATGGGGAACTGAAATGGAAATCTGCTCAGTGTGAACCCTCTGGGTCTGTAAGCCTCCCAAAAAGTATCAGTCTCCTGCAGTTTGTCTATTAAGCAAGTCAGGAGGAAAGATGTATGTGTGAGATAAAGTAGCTGTGCATGAAGGTGTGTGACCTCAACCATCTGCATATAGGGCGACGCAGCCGAGGATCCGCCTCCTTCTGCACGGGATACAGTATTACACGTGTGCAGCTGCACATGAAACAATTTTACATAAAAAAAAGAAAGCCTTTGTGAGTTTCTGATGAACAGATGGTTTATTTATGTGTTTCTGTGTAGTCTGATCAGAGCTGCAGAGAGCAGGGGTACATGTCTAACATGGCGTTTTCCTAGATGGAGGTGGCATGCATCTTTGTTTTGATTTCATATATAGTTATGTTTGACCAGTTAAGGGCTGCTGGTTTTTCTCTAGCAGGCATGGGCTGATCTGAACTATCGGGTTATTAAAAGGTTTTCTAAATGTACCATTCAAAGTTTCCCATCATTCCTAATTTAAAAAATAATCACCTTAAGATGTGACTCTAGAGAGCACCACATCTAGTTCACCTGTTGCTGTGCACAGTCTGTCAGCTGGCTCAAAGAAGGCTGCATTATTTCTCTAATTTTTACTTATTTATCCTGCACTGGAAAAGTTGAATATATATATAGATGATGTTTAGTTTGTATTTTTCCACATTTTTGCATGAAAATCAAAAATCTTTGTTAGTTGTAACATTAATACATATGTAAAAGTCATGTCTTATATAACAGGTAGAGAAATTAACCTTTCTGTTGATGTTAAAGAACATTACCTGTCTTAGAAATGTAAAAAAATACAATAAGCTAGGGTGGAAATTAGATTTAAATTTGGACCTATAAAGTTAGGCCAAAGTTGTTCTATATTGGGGTTTAAATCAAGATTTTAATTTATTCATCTTTCCTCTGACTTGAAATGACATGTATGGTATTTACTAATTGACCTGATCCTTAAAGATCGGATTATGGTGATGGAAGAAGATCTCACAGCCTCCATAAAGACGTGAGGCTCATCACCAAAGATAAATCATCAAAATACTGAATATAATATTAGAAAGGTTAGATTCTGATGAAGCTAGTAAGCTTTGTTTTTTCCACATTCAGTTTTGACAAGGGAATTTTTTTTTTTTTTTTTTTCCGATTATCCAGTCTTTGAAAACTAAACAAAAGCTTGTGTATATTTGTTGGAATTTGATCCTCTTATAGTATCTTTTGTTATATACCTTTGTCATTTCCTATCAGGAAGTTAATTAAATGAGAATTTAGAATCTTAGATTGCTAGGATTATGAGTGATTTTGGTTTTACATTTTGCTTCAACACTGTTTACCATATAGCGTCTCAGCCCAGCCCATGCCTAATGTCAGCTCATAATTCTTAGTCATTCCTGAACCTTCTCTCAAATTGAAATCACTGTTGTTTTTTTCTGTTCATTATGTATTTTAGAGCTTGAATTATCCAGATGATTTTCTTTTTTTTTACATTTACCGTAAGTTGAAAGTACTTCTCTGCCATCCTAACAAGCTTTCAGTAAACCGGCTGCCACCGCCATGTGCTCCTGTGCTGCCTGAGTGGGTCCTCTGTGTTTGTCGTTGACATTGCTGATAAGCCTGTCGGCTCTGATTGGCTGCGACTGATGAGCTGTCGGTGTGAAAGCCGTAGAATGAAGATGGGCTTTTGAAGAGATGCTGAACAGATTTAGACTTAATGGGGTTTATGTCTTGTTGCCTGACTGACATGATCCACACAAGCACAGAGTAACATTAAGTGAAGCACAAGATATCTGACATGAAATAGTTGCCTTCTGGTTAGAAAACGGCTAAAACGCGGGTATGTCGTAGCATTTTGTGTTACGGGCATGATGGGTGGTTTGAATGAGAAGCTGCAGATGTGCAGATTGCGGGACCACCAAAATAATGGCCCGTTTGGAGATGATATGAGAGCTGCAGCTGCTCAGCCATGATGTTATTTATTTTTCTCCCCTTCTTTGTGATAAAGAGAAGAGACTGTCTGAGGTCTGTGATTGTGTGCACTGCCTTGTTTGTCCTCTTCTCCCTCGCTCTCTCCAGGTTTAGTCTCCCGTCATCGCAGGGGGATGCGGTTGCCGTGGCAGCAACATGTTGGCTCAACACGCGCAGTGCAGCTTCTGTTCCTTTTATTCCCGCCAGCCAACCGACTCGCTCCTCCTGATAATGTATTCGGAGCTGTGTTTTGGGGGTTTTTTTGTTTTAATTTTTCCTCACTGTTTGATGTTTGTTCTCTGTCCCCGTGGCTCGTGCTGCTGTGAATAGATTTATTAGAAAGCTGCTTTTTGTTGCTTTGGAAAAAAATATATATATACGTTTGTGGTTTGCTTTGTCTCGTCTGTATCGGATTTCTTTTTAGGCTCAGTCATTGACACGTGTATGTTGATGCCGTCAGTTGCCGTCTGTCCAATCCGTGAAGTAAATGTCATGATGAAAAGCAAAGATCTAACAGGAATGTAAAGAAGCACGTCTTATAGAGAGATAACCTGTTGTGTCTAAGATGCTGGATAACCAGAGGTTTTAATTAAGCTGTATTTTATGGAAAACAACAAAAATTCAAATAGGAGTTTATTGACATGAATGTTGGTGCAGCAACTATAGTGACAGTGGAGGTAAAATGAAAGTATTTTCTTCAATAACTGCACCGTCTGGGTTTTGTGTTAGATATGCATAGCATTTCACAAAGCGCACACTCCTTTTTGTTTGGGTGAGTTTAGCCAGTTTTTCTGCTTCAGTTGGAGTATCACCTGCACTGATGCGTACATTAGAGATGCACCGATAGGAGTTGGGTGGCTAATCTTTGGTTTTGTGATAACACCAATTTCCCCAAATCTGGTTTCAAATTATAACTATAAACATTTCTTTTAGTTTGTTTTAAATGCTCATTGTCAATGTTTTCTTTCATTAATTTACTCTCCTGGTCCCAGCTAAGCACCAGTCCTTGTCTGAAAACAATCCCAGTTGAACCAGTAGGGCTGTAACGTCAGAAACTACACTAAATGTTATATCATGAAATTATTCCAAATATAAAACCTGGGAACTACAGAAAATAACTGGATCGTTGAAATAAATCAAATGTATACACACTAATTTAAATATAACAATTTTGTCGAACAAAAGAAAAGTTAAACACCATTAAAATACATCAAGAATGTTATGAAATAAAATTAACCTGTATCTGTAATGGAGGAATCCAGAGTGCATGTGAGGGGGTTACCTCAGTACATGTGTAGCATGTGATTACGGACCAGCTTAAATGTATTGTTTTTGCAGAGCTGCATGATTTTTAACTGGGATAATATCCCAGAAAACTGCCTTGAAAGTTACGGTTATGATTAATCGAGAGGTTTTTATTCCCCTTATCTCTTAAGTTCCCTGAAACAGTCAGTATTGGCATTAAAGGAACTTAGAGCCCATCCAGCTGTCAAATCTATTGTTATATAGAGCAGGAATCCCATATTAGAATAAATACCCTACCAATAAATGTATAAAGTCTTTTTTGTGATTGTAATTTTTAACACATAATTGTAATTTACCATACTGCACTGCTCTAAATATGTATATATTTTTTACCATACTGCGTTTAGTATGATATTAAAGTACAACCTTCGAAATATAAGATTAGATGTTTATTGGAATAAATTGCCATGTGTAATCACCTCTCACATTAATGATGAGCTGAACCCCAGCAAACCAGTTTTCTTCTATCGACAGCTTAGAATTGAAAATGGGGTAAGGTAATGGTGGTTAAGTTAAATGAAATTTATCAACTTAATTCATGAAACACTCTACTTAGAAATTTAAACTTGCACTGAATGATCTAAATACATGGGTATGAAGTGTTTTATATAGGATGTAGAGGCAGGAAGGGATTAAATGGGCATAAAAGGAGTTATATATGTAAACTGCACTGTTTCTGTGTGTTGTCTTTACCATAATTTTCAGATCT